TCTCTCCCTAAAAACCTATGGAAAGCCCGGCCGGCATGGCTCAGTGTTGACCTATGAACTAGGAGGCCACAGTTTGATTCCTGGTCCAGGCACATGCCCGGGTTGTGGGCTGGATCCCAGTGTGGGGCGTGCAGAAGGCAAGCGATCAATGATTCTCTCATCATTGATGTTTCTCTCTCCCTCCCTCTCTGAAATCAATAAAAATAATGTCCCCGGGAGAGGATTAACAAGAAAAAGCCAATTTGTCTTAAGAAAAAGAAAAAAAAAAAGACAATATATCATATTGCCCCAAAAACACCTTCGGTGACCAATCCAGACGGCCTCCTACTTGAAACATTCTCCCAGACTTAGTCTGTACGTTTCCACAACAGGCACTCGTCGGGACACTCGTAAGTCAAGGCCCCACTGTACTATGCTTGTAGTTATTGCTCCCCAAACACTGCTACAGAACAAGTTCTGGAAGTGCTTTTGGACTCCCATTCCCTTAAAAAAACGCCCCGTTTTCTTCTACTGGCAACAGTCTTAAAGGTGTATAACCCGCAGGGGATGCTCCCGTGAACTCAGCCCGCGGGGTACAGGGTAGGCGTCAGGGAGCCTGCAGATCACGCCGGGGGCTTACTCACCGTCGAAGACACTCGCTTCGGAGATGTCCCGAACGGCTGCGGCCTCCACTATGTTTCGGATGACAAACTTCTTAATGGCCTTGTCCTTGGGCACGCACCGGGCGCAGTTGGTGCAACGAATAGGCTGCACATGGCCTCGGCCTTTTTTGGCACGACCGTTATTCCTTCTTTTCTTGGTCTGCACGAGGATAAAAACCTTGTTAGGAAGGAGGCGCAACCTACCCAGCCTCGGCCCCTACCGGCTACATTCCGCACCAGCCGCCCAAGGAAGACGCCAGTCACATCCCCAGTTCCTCCGCAAATCTCTCTCCAGGCCCGGGATAAACACACACTCCGCCCGCTCCTCCTTGGACCCGGCTCCCAAATCCCCCACAGTCGGGATCTACCCCTCCCAACCTCACCCAGACCGCCCGCTCCCCACGCGCCCGCACTCACCATCTTGGAAACGAGGACCCGAGAGAGGATCCGGCGCCCGGCCCGCCTCCCTTATATAGCGCGAGATCCCTCCACTCACACCGGAAGAATCCTTAGTTGACGAACGGCAAGAACGGCAACCCACCTTACTCAAATTTTCTTTATTACTGAGGGTTTATGCTGAAATCTAGGGCAGAAAGGCATTTCTCAAGTTTATTTATCGGTGGCACAAGGCGACCATGGGACTATTTTTCCTGATGGCGGAAGAAAATTAAAGTTATACGTCTCCCAGCAGGCACTGCGACGCCCTACCCCGGAAGTAATTTTGGGCGGTACAATTAATCTGGTTTTGCGACGCTAAAAGCGGAAGTTGCCTGGCGCAAGATCACAAATCGCGCTGCCAATTAGAGGCCAGATGGGAAGAGATGCATGATGGGAGTTGTAGTGCGAAGCTGACAGGCCTTTTGCCCCAAGCACTTAGACCCCGGACGGCTCTACGCCTCCGGGGGCCGCTCTGGGCTCACTTTTCTGACAATCCTACTCCTTGGTGTAGGATTGAGAAACGGAGGACCTGGGGGGGGGGGGAACAAAACATTTTGTTAATTCCTCTTTCCAATATGGAGAAAAACCCACAATGAGGGGCCAGGGACAAGTGCATTGTCTCATTCACCTTTTTATTCTTGGATCCTCTTAGCACAGTGCCAGGCACTGTAGTAAGTGCTTTATAAATATTAACTCATTTAATCCTCAACAACTCTATAAAGCAGGTACTATTATTATCCTCACTTTACAGATAGAACCGAGGAGTACTGTAGAGCGGTTAAAACTGAGGTTGCCCAAAGTCACAGAGCTAGTAAGAGGTGTCCTGGCTCCACTATACCGCACTGCTTCTCACCCAACCAACAGTGGATGGACAGCCTGGACCAGCGCCTTAAATAATGTTGACTCAGACTCAGAGTAGAAATACATAGTAGAAATACATGGTACTCAATACTTACACACACACACACACACACACACACACAACTGAAACAAACTTTATGAAATACCCTTATGACATAAAGGTGCTCTGGTATATTCAATTTTTAAAAAAGAAATGCTGATCAAGCTCCACTAAAGTGATTTTGCCTCTTTCATGAGTCT